TATATATATGTATATATATATATATATATATATATATATATATATATATATATATATATATATATATATATATATATATATATATATATATATATATATATATATATATATATATATATATATATATATATATATATATATATATATATATATATATATATATATATATATATATATATATATATATATATATATATATATATATATATATATATATATATATATATATATATATATATATATATATATATATATATATATATATATATATATATATATATATATATATTATGTCAATTAGGACTGCTTTTGCAATTTTAAGAAACTTAAAATAAAGAAACCTGACACCTAATTCGCATCAAAGTTCAGCCAATAAAGAAACCTGACACCTAATTTGCATCAAAGTTAACTACACGCATCTTAAAATTGCAGAAGCAGTCCTAATTGACATCAATAAACCAAAAATAAATATACAACAAAAAATGACAACCTCACTTCCAACCCGGCGCTTAACCAACAACGAAAACAAAGAAGTAATAAAAACTAGCATCGTAAATAGTGACGAAGAAGAATATGATGCTATCGATGAAGAAAAGGAGACCAAAGAATAAAGAAACTTGACACCTAATTCGCATCAAAGTTCAATTTTATAACACCAAAGTTAATTTTTACAACGTCAAAGTTCATCCTGACAAAGTCAATATTTCCCTATATATACAGCAAGGAGCATTGATGATGATTCATTCGGAATCGAAATATGGCCTTATTTGCAGCATGAATTCGAAAAATAAGTTTATTTTGAATTTTAATAAACTAAACGTTCACCAAAAAACTTTAGTGAGAAAAATCGAAAAAACGAACTACAAACATATTAACGCCAAACATTCGGTAGAATTTATAGAATATTGTAAAAATTATGGTCTATTACCAACACACACACACACACACACACACACACACACACACACACACACACACACACACACACACACACACACACACACACACACACACACATATATATATATATATATAAGAGAAGCGTTGCAATAAACTGAATCATTTTTAACTCGTCGGACGCAACAAGTAAGCCCCTTGGTCAATTGTCAAATGCCAATTTTCTGACACCTTAGGGTTCAGTGTTGGGGTCTTTGAAAGTTCTTTCGTGAGGTATTAATGTTTAACCTAGTTCACAAATTTAAATTTTGCTGTCACAAATATGACCTTTGTGTTATTTTTAGATTTTGAATATCGGAATAATTTTGCTTTAGAATATATCTCTAATAAGTGTACCTAAGTTTCGTCGCTTAGTTATCACGGGGATTGAAATCAAAAGTTCCAAACTAGCTACATGTTTTTAAAATCAATTGTCAGAATTATTACCGATGTTTTGGAATGGCTCACTAAATGATGCCGACGATGTTTCGTTTTTACATCAGCAAACGTTGTTATGATTATCCGTTTCTACTCTAATATTTTTACTACAGTGATTTTCCTATTCGATAATTTTAAAATAAATAAGTTAATAATAAAATACTTACAAGAAAATATTGGTGATTCAATGAGTTGAATTAACTGGTCAATTTCTACCAAATGTTCCACAGTAATTTCTATCTCACTCCTGAATTTAAATTATCAATAAACGATGCCATTGAATGTTAAATTTACAACAAAAATAAATTGGAGAATAAGATTACAGTTTACAAAATTTAAAACAACGCCAATAAAATATAACTGAAACATTTTGATTGCCGGTTGCATGATAATTGTTTTGTTTTCTAAGCTAACTAAGCTTTAGCTCCTAAGAAAAAAAATTCAGCTCAGTATCAGCTTTTTTATTTCAACATCAAAAATGAAATTGAACTAATGGAAGAAACCCGAAGAATGAATAAAGATTCGTCAAGAAATAAGATGGAAAAATACGTATGAAGATTGCTGGAGCAATTTTATCCATCAACATAATAGCACAAAAGACTAACCATTCATTTATTACAGTTCACAAAATAGATAACAAAAAATCAAATCACTTGTTTTTCTTTAAACTTTAAAAAAATCCCACTAAAATTAAAGCAATCGTTAAACCATTTTTCAACTAGTCTGAGAATATATTATCAACTCTATGAGCAATACTCTTTCCCATTTTTTAACCAGTCATTTCAAACTGATCAAAAATAGCTCGGGAAGCGCTCATTTGCAAATACGATTTAACCATCAACACGACAAATAAAGATCCAAACTTCCTATAAATCCGTAAAAAATTTAACAAAATTTCACCAATAATTCAGCATCATCTTTAGAATATTGACGTTGAAATCACTTGCATGTCCTCTCCACAATACAATGGATAAGATAAGAAATGCTGGTCCACGAGTTTTTAAAGCTTCTCATAAATAAGCCACAGAAAATATAATTATATATATATTTTTCATATTGTTCAAAATCATATAAGATTTATCTCTCTGGCTGTTCTAACGCAAAATCATTTCGCGTGAATAATTTTGCCATTCTTGTGATTGCTACCGGAAAACATTTTTTGAAACTAAACTAAGAAGTATAAGTTATTCATCAAAATCGTCTGTAGAATGTACGGTATGTGTGATATCACGAACAAACAAATATTTAGATCGCGATACTGCCTAAGAAGATACTGCCTGGCCCAATGCTGTGTACCTTTGATTTGATGAAGAGTATATCAAAAAGTTCAACAAACAACTTAATGTTGCAATTCGAGAGTTATATGTGCCGGGTCCAGATGATGCTATTGAATGAATATCAAGTGTACTTGAACAAACACTTACAAGCATCACTGCTGACAACTGGTTATAATTTATTTTTAACAATTTTTCAAGATAAAACTTACTCTAGTATTTAAATTAAATAAATGTAACAAAAATTGAGTTTTTAACTTACATAACAGTCAGGAGGTTGAGCGCATGTTTATAATTTTGGCTCAACAGACAGAGCGCTATGGTAGCCACAGGATTGTGGCACCAAGATTTGTAGAGACAACAAAACAGATCACAATTCTCCTGCAAATGTTTTTGTATTTAAACGAATCAAAATGATGCCGTTGAAGTCTTTCACTACAATTCAATTTCCATTCAACGTTTTACTATATTCGTAATTTCATTAAAGCATTCAATGTTCTTTTATATTTTTCCTCAATCAATCGATCGATCGATCGATCGATCGATCGATCGATCGATCGATCGATCAATCAATCAATCAATCAATCAATCAATCAATCAATCAATCAATCAATCAATCAATCAATCAATCAATCAATCAATCAATCAATCAATCAATCAATCAATCAATCAATCAATCAATCAACAATCAATCAACCAATCAATCAACCAATCAATCAATCAATCAACTAATTTGTAAAGCACTATAGTAAACAGATGGGTCTTGAGATATTGAAATGTTTTTTTGGTGATCTCACAAAATTGGCACCCTTGCAAGGGAGCCAAAATGGACCGTCTTTTTTAAGCAGGCAAGAAAAACAACAAGCAGCAGTGCTCAGTACCTAAGGCCAACAAACTGCATAACCATCGGAGTCGAAAACATTTTCATACGACCCCGCGTAAAATAGATTTCTTGCTGATCATACATATTTGGAAGGCGAAAAATTATTTACAAATTAGAAACATTTTAAAGTAGAGTTCAATTGCGTTGGAAATAAAGGTTTGCATTCTAAATCTCGAATCTATTATTTATCTAACATTATTTTAAATATCACCTCGTGATTAATGTACGGCAAAAAGACTTCACAATTTGTCAACAATAAGCCGAAGATACGAAAATTTAATTATGGTTAATGGGTTTTGAAATGGTTTTATCCATGGTTCTCGTAATTATTGTTCTGAGAGACATGTATTCTACATATAAACACAAAATTATGCGTGCACGCACACACACACGCGCACACACGGCATCTGAATCTAAGCCTTTATTGACAAAAATCAGAGTTGTGGTGGAAGGCCTCTATAGATAAAGAGTAAAGTTTAGAGAAGTTTAGTTTAGAGCCGATGATGCAAAGCGGATGAAACAATACGGCATGCAGCTGTTTACGCGTTAAGAGTTCAACTTCGCAAAACGTTAGCAAGAGAGTGGTACAAAACATCAATAAAGTGGCAGGCTCAAACGTGAGAATATAAGCTGAAAAACTGTAACAAGCTATAACTGCGCTTTATTAATTAATTAATTAATTAAATTATAAAGTAATTTAATTAAAAACCTTAGAATCAAGATGTTTCAACTGATTTCTCAGCTGGAAAAGTTCTGCAGACGTTAGCAGAATGTAGTTAAAAGTTTGAACCAATTCAGACACAAAGAAAACGTCGTCTTCTACGTGCATAATGTCAGATGCACAACAGTACACGTTCTTAGCATTTAACATTAAACAGAGACGCCTGAAATCATTTAAATACGCTCTATAAATTTAATACAATAGATTAATAAATTTGGTTTACTTTATTATAAAAGGTCCTCTACAGTTCAACAGTTGCCTATTCCCCTTGAACAATTTGATGAGGTGTTCCATGAAAATGTTGAAATATTCGTTTAGGTTTTCATATAATTTGCGATCAGTAGCACGCAACTGCATCCCTCTAGATGAGAAGGCAGTGATCAATTCTAATGTCTGTATGACAACCTTGAAAATTAATGCCTTTAGATTGACAACAATAAACCAAATATACAAAGTAGCATGCACTAAGTTAATGGTGTTAAAAACTGTTGAACATCTCCACAGATGTTTTCAATGCAAATACGTTATAGATAAATATAAATAGGCAATATCATACAGCTCGAAAAATAAATTTGAATCATTTACTTCATCAGATTCATCTGATAACGATTTAAGCAAAGAGTCCAGCAACTCTTCATAATAAATGATCATCTGAATAGAAAATATTTTAGTTCAGCCACATACGTCCTGCATTTTAAGGCTTAAGATGCATGATAAAGGTGAGGCAATTTAAACCTTTTGAGGAACATATTTCAGCAGATGTTTCACCCATGATATGCTGGCAAGCCTGGTGCTATTTGACGGATGGAACATTTGTTCGGTAAGAACTTTTAAAATTGATGGTAGATCCAATTGAGAATTACTGTGAAATATCAAAAGATCATTTACGTGTAAGACACACCTAAATACACATTTCAGATCACGCAAAATTAACTAGACAAACTTTTCAATAACTTGCCAACTACCATTGAAAGAAATTTGTAGAGCAAGCAATGAAAACAAAATCTATTAGAATTTTCATTAATTTTGATTTTTTAGTTGTTCATAAGTGAGCGAGCATATTTCGGATAATATTAGACTTTATACAAAACTTATAACGATTTTTTAGCTTACATATTGTTGCACATTCAAATTTCAAAAAATAAATATAAAAATACATAATACAAAAATTAGAAAATATTTGTAATTTTAATTACGAGCATAGTTTTTAAAAGTTTGCCATATTTAGCATAAAATCATCTGTTATCTTTCTCTCTAAAACCCATGCAGAATGCTCTTAACTTTCATTAAAACGCAACGGCATCAGATTACAAGCAAGATCAATTTCACATTTCACAATAAAAACGAAATTCTGTGACAAACTTCACCAACCTGTTGGCTGACGTTTCGCCTGCATCGTTTAAAAGTTTACTTTTAATTCATTCATTCATAATGCTATTACAAAAACTGATTACCATTTGGAAGTGATTTTTCTGAAGTTATATAGTCCAAAAGATAAGAATTTATAAGACGTGCCTTGTTTCGAATATCTGGCAAATATAAAATTTATTGAAAGAAAAAATTTTCCGCCAAATATTGTAAAAGAAATAATTCTTAAAAATCAAATTGCAGTTTGAATTCCTTCCGTTTATCTTCAAACACACCGCAACACTGGATGGCTGATTTAAATAACGTAACTTAAAACAAAATTACGGAGGCGACGGTTTGTAACGAAACTGATGGCACCACCACCAACACCACCGTTGACAGTCTGTCAATGGTGGTGGTGGTGGAGATGGTGGAGCATGAAGTCAAGAAAACTTTAATCAATCCGTGACAACCTACTAATTTTATACACTATATTTTACGGAAAAAGTTAATTTTAATAAAAATATTTCTGATAAGTAATTATTTTCCGTCGTTAAAAAAATATGAAAAATAAGATATGTTTAGGACCTGGCGATCCTTCATTGCAAGATAGACAGGGCAGTGTGGCTGTCAATATGCCCGCAATGTGAGGGAGGAGAGATATGGTCGGCAGTGGCAATATCTCATGCAGCCACGTGAACGCCGTGCATTGGATCAACTTATCTGTTAGGAAAATAATAATTTATATCTCGTCAGAAGGACAATCAATCTTCGTAATTTTAAAACGACGTTTGTTTGTCTAAAACTGAATCCAACATTATTCAAGTATTCAAGGTGATACAAAAAACAAATTATAAAATTTGTAGAGTTTTTTTATTGAACTTGAAAAAAATTTTTTAAATTTGATCGATCAAATAACAAAACTTAGTAAACTTGAAGAATTTTAGTGTGTAGAGGCTTTCGAAAACGTTACCGAAAGTGGACTATTCAAGCGCCACTTAGTAATAATAGTAATAATAAACATTTCTTTTATTTCTTCATAGAAATATAATTGGTTGTAAGAAAAAACGAAAAAGGTTTAATAAAAGCGTACCAATAAGTAAATTAATGTTAAGATAAAATTAAATAGTATATTCTACTTAGCTCGTCATCCAAAATGAATGAGTAAAACAAGAGAAAATTAGCTATAAATTAACAATTCAATCGTAGTTTCTATCGCAATAAATGGCAAAAGATGACGGTATTACCAAAATAATAAGGCTATTACAAAATTGATCAGACGAAATATTGTTGAAGAGTGATAAAGTTAAACAAATACAAAAACTTAACGATACAATTTCAAAAGTGTTAATTATCATTTTAAAGTTTTTAAAACTACAGAGCAAATTATTTTGAAAGTTGTCGTAATATTTGGACGTTTTATATTCTTTTGAGTTGAAGAAGTTGAATTCATGGAAAACCGTTAGTTCCAATATTTCGATCGTGTCGTCGCCAAGTAGTGCCATGTCGAGACGTAAAAATTTGAAATGACAAGAAACTCGACGGATCCCATTATAATCCACGTCAGCAAACATCGAAACTTCTGAACCCATTTCAACCTTTGCAATAATTATATTTAAAACTTTGTTGTGAGGCGTTGTGAATCTTTTCAAAGCCACCACCGAGCTGCAGTTGGATGAAACATGTTTGTTTGTTTGCCGAGCCTTACATAATGGACAGAGGGCTGTAGACGATTTGCCCCATCTGAACAAATTCGCATGTGTAGGAAGTTGTTGAATGAGACTTTTCCTGACAAATTTGAACAGTATTTCTGAAATTCAAAATTCTGTGAATTTCGACCAGTGCGCAATTCGAGCCGCGGGTATGTGGTTCTTAAATACTTTCAGAATTGTTCCTTGGCAACGGAGAGATGTCACATGTTCTATCTGCATTTTGTTGTCGAATCATTAGCACGTTGAGTTACGGTTTTATGTCTTTCGAGTCGGGAAACATGTTATCAATTTTTATATAACTGCTATATGATTAGCTCCATAAACATTACGGAGTTTTAATCTTGAAGATTTGGCAAAATTTGTGAGCGATCTAACGTTTAAGCTACTTGATTTGTATAGGAGAGACAAGGTTTCCAGCAGACAACTGCTAATGGGCAACGACAGCCATGATCTGACTGTTTCGGTGACCAGGGTGTCGAGATACATACCAATCGAGGTCAGCGAGATGTTGTAGGTGCGAAATTCAAACGCGAACTGCGATGACCAATATCTTCTAAGAATTTCGAGTTTCCACTACATTGTTGTGTCTAATTCGCTAACAGTTGATAATATTTTTTGAAGTTTGTTGATCACCTGGTTTTTGGAGTTGTGTCGTTGCCTTTGAAATTGTATTTTTTAACCAAGATATTCGAAATTCCCACCAATGTCAACGTGGGGGATCCGCTTGTCGTCAATCGACAGCACCTGGAGGAATTGTTCGTAAACCCCGTTTAGTTTACGCATGTCGAAAGAGGAACATTCATCTATCCTCATACTCATTCCAGTAGATTTGCACCAAGCGCAGTTTATATCGATAAGTTTTTAAGCACATTCGATGCTGTTGGCAATGATGGCCGTGTCATCTGCGAATTGTAACCATGCTCTTGCGTTTAACTTAGCTGTTGGATCCCATAAGCAACCGCATTGTTGGAAACTGTGATTGAGTAGTCAGTATATATATATATATATATATATATATATATATATATATATATATATATATATATATATATATATATATATATATATATATATATATATATATATATATATATATATATATATATATATATATATATATATATATATATGACCTCACCAAATGTGTTGCGGAGATCAATAAGTTGACGACGATGGTTCTTTGGTGTCTCTTCGCATCGCAGAATAGGTGAGTTAAAAGTTGGTTGTGTTCCGTCAAAGCATTTATACTTGGGTAGAAACCTTATTGGATTTTTTTTTATATATTTAGTTGATAGTTTCTAAGACATCGTAAATTCTGTTGTTTATGAAAGATGAAAATATTTAGCAAGGTTAAGGGCTTGAAGTTGGAGGGATCATGAGCGTCTCCCTTTTTGTGGATGAAAATTGTGAAACCCTTTTTCCAGCAAACTGTGATTTGGTCAGATACCCAACATTGAATAACCAGTTTGTGTAGAATTGTACGTAATATTAGGCATTTTTAAATGAAATTATTGTTATAATACTCGCTGTCGTAACCGGTTTGCGATGCGACGGGTTCAAATCTTCGATTGAATAAAATACTCCAAACAGTTATTAAACTTTATTTACAGAAGAAATCAACTATTATTAGTTATTAAACTTTATTTACAGAAGAAATCAACTAATCGTTTATTTCCAGTAAATTCGCACTAACGCAACAATTAACTTTTAAATCTTTCAAAATCTATCGCTATGACAACGTCAACAAACAATTCAAATATCGCTTTAAATAATTCACCGAATCGCTATTCACAAAATCACGAATTTCACTAATCACGAATATCACTAATCACGAATATCACTAATCACGAATATCCCAATCACGAATATCACCAATCACGAATATCACCAATCACAAATATCTTGCGACGTGCGCTTATATACTCTTCGCAAGCGTCGTTTCTAGATTCTTCCCGATGGTCCGATTCCAGCATACTCTAGAACGTTCCAGTCACTAGAACATTCTAGAATACGCTAGAATCTAGTGCGTTCGGTAGCACGGTTATAACATTACCCCCTTCTTAGTTCTGTTCGTCCCGAACAGCTTTCGTTCCGGTGTCCGCATGGTACGGAGCCAGTCTATCCAAATGGACGATCTTCATTCTGCTCTCGGCTTCC